GGGAAATAGAGGGAAAGTGAGGGGATGTTTGCGGTTTCGTGGTAGGTATATACCCCCATATACCCCCCCTCCTTGCTACGGCAATTTGGCAATTTTGGAGGAAAAAAGTGGGCGGAGTTTGGGCTGTGTCGACTGGTCGAATACTATAGAATGAGCCCCATGATGGCGATGGCAGGCGAGGGTGGTGAAGGGTTGACCCTGAGGGGGGGGGGTCGTATCGAGGCCCTCTAGAAGGGGGAGGGGGTCGTAAAATTTTCGAAATCGGTCCAACGTGACGGTTGACCCTGCGCCCAATTGTTCATAAGTTCCGGTGACACAAAGCCATGAGATTTGTTACAAATGCCGCTAGCAAGTATGATCGGCCATTCTGGGATCAAAAACTCCCATATGTGGAGCGGTGGTGTAGCGCATTTTCGAAACGGCGATGCATTTCCATATCAGCTTGCAACCCATTTACAGTGGTTACGCAGTCTAGGCGTGTCCGTCAGATTCCAGCTCGACTTACAACTTTCTTCGCTTTGCAGGCCAATCTTCAGTTAACATGATATGTCAGTCTACCAAGAAGTGATTTAGACTTTCGTTTGCAAGTGAGCGGGGGGGGGAGGTTTTCACAATGCTCTGTTATAGACAAGTGTCAAATCGAATACCGTCAAAGCGTTCTCATAATTTTAAAGAACACTGCATGACACTTCAGATCTGACCCCAGGTAACACCGGTGCTTTGTGAAGAGGGGTGTATGCTGATTTTGAGTAGAAGGAGCTTCGGGCAAACAATTTTCTTACCCACCCCGTGCCCCGCCTTCTTTGCTTAGCCCTAGGAAACGAAGAAACTCCTTTCGATCAGGCAAAAAATTGTTTTTCCCGAGTTCCTTTTACTCGAACTTAACCGAACTTTTTACCCGAACTTTTTACTTTACTCTACTTTACCTTTTCACTTCGCCATCGTTCTTGTACATTATTCGACGTTTGAACAGCATTGCCCAGATGGCGGCTCGTGCACTTCACTGGAGTTCAAATCCTGATCAGAGCTATCAAAACTAGAGCGAAAATCTAACTGGTACAGGAACTAATGCTGAGCGATGATTTGAACAGCCGTGATTATTGCCAAGTGTACAGGAAACTTTAGAAGCAGTCCGGTTTAGTTCACGACAGAGGTAAGGAACTCTCGACTGCAATTAGATGCTGGGTTATAGGCAAAACACTAAACACTGCCATTCAAAGAGAGTTCAGGTGGAGGGATGCCACGGTGGAGCAGTTGGTAGCACAAGCGCCCGGAGTGCGAGAGGTACGCGTTCGATTCCAGCCCGGGCCAAAGTGCTGTTCTCATAACCCCAACATGCGTCTGGTAACTTTCGACCGTGAATTGCCTCTCTTGAAAGCATCAAGCATCATACAAGCTTCCAAGGAGACAACTGGATCAGGGCGCTGTCTTTAGCACGAAACGTGGGCACGTTTTTGCTTCGAACATCATGAGCAGCTTGTCAATGGCACTTGGAAGGAGAAGGACAATATGAGGAGCTTCCGCTCAAAGTGCGTTCCGAAACACACAACCAAGTCTTTCTCCATATCTCGATTTTCCACCAATGCGTCGTCTCAGAGTTTCACTACAACGCACGTGTTTCACCAGATAAGGAAGCAACGAAAACTTCCTCAAATCCAGTCAAATAACCCCAATGAATGCGCAGAGAAAGACATTTGGATCGACTCTATGTCTCAAGCAAGTTCCTCGAAGGCCGTCAGTCTGCATGAGCGAATAAGCGCCGAAACCTTACCTGATGCTGCCTTGGTCCCTCACAGGACGAGCAACATCATGCCCTTGCAGTTTTCTCTATAGTGCATTTCAATTGTACTTTTTGCTCCGATATCCCCAAGTACTGCTAATCTGATCACGGGCATTTCTCCTCTGGAAAGGCTTTTTCGGTCACTCGCACTTTGCACAGCCACCGTCACCATTGCACTCAGTCAGGCCGTCATCGTCATCGACGACGTCGCCTGTTCGCTCGATTGTCGTTCTTACTGTTTTTTCAGAATCGGCCTCAGTGCAAGTGTACTAAAGGACAGGCCGAGGGCTCAGTGAATGAGAAAGGAGGGAGCAGAGTTAGGGCGAAAACGTGGAATTTGGACATTCCACAGCACCAAGAAGGACATTGGCAATCTGGCAATGATCATGGCTCATTGTGAGGAAGCCTCGTGGTTTGTAGGCAAACCGCCATTGAACAGAAGCGGTCAGTGACACGCTGAGGACTGGGCTGGTTCCCAGCGCAGAAGCCACAGCATGCTGCACTTGCAAGCACGCCTCTCAGTCAGTCAAAAATGGGATGTCACGGCTAGTATGGCACAGAGGGCGCAAGTGGTGTACGGACGAGGGGCACGGTGTGGGACAGAATCCTGGATCGTGCGCCGTTCAAGCAAAGAAACCCTTCTGTTTTTCCGGATTCGATGGTACCAGACTTGTGTGGGAAAATAAAAACAGTAGCCTGTATATCGTCTGACCCTCGCAAGTCATTGTATAGGTCAAACTTTATTCAGTGTAGAGATAGCTCCAATGAAAGGCTTAACGTACGCTCTGGCACTAGACTCAAAGATAGAAAACTAAGTGGAGACTGGAGCACTGTCCTCCTTCTGAGCACCTTCGGTTAGTTCCAGAGTGGAATTCAGGACGAGCCTTCACTACCTCAGGGTCCAGGTTCATTGACCTTCCTACCGGAATTGACGGGAAAGGCCTCTCACTACTAGACGTGGTCCTCCTTCGAACCAATACTAAGAACAATTAGTGCTGTGAAATAATCCTTCTTCATGGGATAGCACACTCGAAACTTGTGACCGTTTTAGCTATTGCGACCAGACATACGTGCCTTTACCGAAACAGGTCAGCAACCTGCATTTTTCGACCCTCTGCTGCTTCTTATTATAGGAGATGAGTACCTCCGCTATGATGGAAGCGGCTGGGTAGATTTCCACTGACTGTCTGCCCCATCGACGACTTCGATGCGTCCAGTTGCTTAGCCATTCTTCTGACGGAGCGTCCTTCGTTAGAGGAACTGCCTCGTGCATATGAGTGATCGCAGGTCGCATTGGAGGGCCTTCCGCCATCCTGAAAAAAAGCAGAGATTTTACCCGACCAATGGAGCAGATTACAAAGGTACCATCCTGTACAATTACACATTTACAAATGGAGTGAAGATAATCGATAACTTTTATCTAACGAATTCTGAGTTCCGGCGCCCATAGTTTGGGGACACTCTGTGTAACCGCATTTCAGTTTTATAACTCCAAGCCTTCGTAAGTTGTGAGTAATGCCCCGAATTAAGATGTGGCCGTGGATTTAGTAGACTCGGATGCAGATGTTGGAAATACCCCTAGTTATAGCATCGACTGCTTGACGTTTTCTAAGGGGACTATAATCCCTTACGCCCCTATTATGGTCAGTTACGAGTTCTGCAGAGTTCACGAGAAATGAGCAGACCGGTCCTTCTCAGTGTCAAAAGGGGATCTCGTCATCACGAGTTGGTTATGTACCCTACCTGAGAGGACTCGGACTTGGCAGTAATGCAAGATTTTCGAGTCAGAGCCTTCTATCAGGTGGAATCCACCATAACCAAGTCAAAATTTCGTTTTGTCTACTTGTTTACTTTACTCTAAAGTGAGTCTTCCCTGTTGTGGAAAGTGGAGCGCAGTAATTCGTATGAGTGCTGATGAGCGCTGACCTAAACGTGGTCTATGCGATGATCTTTTCCTTTTGACATCAAAAGAAAACGGCCGTCGAGATTTCAGCGGAGATTGGCTCAATGTACCAGATGGCAGACGGATGATTTTAGGGGCACAAAATTTATTTAATTGGAACGCTGAAGCAATCGCTCCGCGTCTGTCATGAAATCATGGAACTTTGTGGTAATCCTGGTTATAAGTTGAATACCCAGATCTCCCCAACACTCGGGAATACTAGCAGTTCCCACAGCACCCTGTTTGGTGTTTCATCTGCACTTGTCCGTAACAACAGCGGCACGCAAACGGAGAATACTCGTAAGGTGATGCTTCAGGGTTACGACCACGAAAGGATTCACGAACGGTTGGATAACATCATTTGAGCACAGCGGCATGCACTGTATTACGAAGGTCGCCTTATCAATTGTTCACCTAGTCTCATTTCGGCAAAACCGATCCGAGCGACCAGCCACCATCTGGAGAAGGGACTTAATAGGAACGTAAGGGGCAGCAACATGGGAGCAACCTTCTTTTGAGTGGCCAGGAGAAATCGCATTCAAATTATCACTGCAATTCTGAATGGAAGTGCATGCATGGCGCAATCCAAAGCGGGACTGATCAACGATTCCATGTGAAAACTGACCTGCATATCAGCGACGAAGATAAACTTACGGTAGGTGTGCCCTTTTCCTTTTTGCTCGCAACGTATTAAAGATCTCTTCATTTTAAGGGTTCTTTATATAATTCGCGACTTTATATAATTAGGGTTTCCATTGACAGAGTCCTTTGATTACGAGTGGAGAAATCTTGCGAAGTATTACTCAAGAGGAGTTGAAATTGCCAGGTGTCCTGTGTTTGGCGATTTTTGCATTTTCTTTTATGAAGTACCGGGTAGGCTTTTGAATTGGAGAGATTAGTTACCAAAGATTTTGCGTCTGAACCAATGATGAGTTGTTTCGCTGGGTCACATGTCCATTGGGCGTATTTGGAAAGAAATGGACTCAGACACTCAGCGGAGTTATGCAGGGACGATTAGCGATGATGTTGTGTGCATTTTACACAGTTCATTCTCGCGAGCTCCCTGATTTCGACCAATTGAGTTATTCAGACACAGCTGTAAAGTAGCTCGCCTAAACGGCGCATAGCGTCATCACAAATTATCTGGCATTTTTCTCAAGGAGACAAGCAGAAAGCCGAGTGACACAGAATTCTGTACTGGCCAGAGTGGAAGAAATTTAGAGCTATTCTGACAATGAGTAATGAGCATTTAGCTACAACGCTGCACAGGAGCATTCGCTGGTGGGAATTCTAAGACCAATCTCAGCATATCCAATTGGGACGCGTCCCTCTCGTTCAGCCGTCTACTGCAGCGTGCACATTCCTTCACCTGGTTGAAACCCTCGCCGGATAACAACACGAAGAATTAAAGGCACAACCCAGGCAGAGGTCGTGTGAACTCTTCTCTTCGGTCAGAAGTATAGAACCCTAGGGGACAATCACAAATGTGGCGTTCACGTGCACGGAATTCGACCGACAAGAACGCTTGGGCTTGCAAAGTAAGCTGCTCGAGCTGCAGCGAACGAGCTCTCTTATCAGGCCGTTGTCTCGTGCTCTCTCATCTGATGCGCTCTCTCGCCCGATACTCTCCTCTTC